CCCAAGATTTTAATATCATCTGCAATTTTAAGTAATTTATTAACTATCCCTTCTTCTATGTCATTGATGTAAATCAAAATAGCAAAGATCCTAAGACTGAGACCTGAGGTACCCCACTTGTGACATTAATCCAGTTTGACTGAACTCCATTTGTAACAACCCTCTGCTTTTTTCCATCCAGCCACTCTTCTATCCAATTTCCTAACTTAACCCCACATCCATAGAGCTAATTTTTTTACAAGCCTTTTATGTGGCACCTTGTCAAATGCTTTCTGAAAATCCAAATACACCAAATATACACCCTTACCCTCATCTACATATGCAGTAACCTTGTCAAAGAATGTCAAAAGATTTGTAAGGCAAGAATTTCCCTTGGTGAAACCATGTTTTGACTATCCAATACAATTCTAAACTTTGTTAAATGACTTTGCAAAGCATCTTTTAACAGACTTTCCGTAACTTCTCTCGCAACTGATGTAAGACTAATTGGTCTATAATTACTGGGACAATTTTGATCACCTCCCTTGAAAAGGGGAGTTACATTACTAACTTCCAATCCTCTGGTACCTGCCCACTATTCAAGAACTAACAGAAAATAGTAGTAAATGGCTTACATATCCAATCTGTAACCTCCATCAAAACCCTTGGGGAAATATTATGTGGCCCAGGAGCCTTATCGTTTTTTAAACTTCCCAATTTTTTCTTAAACATCTCAGAATTAATGCGGTCATTTTGTTTGATCTGGTTTCCATTTATCAACTGTTCAAGATGTGAAATTTACCTTAGTCAGTAAAAACCGAAGAAAAAAGCAAAATTTAATAACACAGCCATCTCATAATCATCAGATACTAGCCTCCCTTTATCATCCCTCAAGTGTCCTACCCCCATCCTAACATTTTTTTTACCCTTAATGTATTTATAGAAATCCTTATTGTTAATTTTTACATTTTCAGGCAACCTTTTCTCATACATCCTTTTTGATGTCCTAATTTCCTGTTTGACCAACTTTCTTGATCTTCTGTAATCTTCTATATCTTCTGTCATACCAGTCAATTTAAATTTCTTAAATTTACGATGTTTTTCTTTAATTTTATCTCTTCAACTCTTTGTAAGCCAATGTGTTTTTTTACTTGTAGCTACTCTTTTCTTTCTATAAGCAATATGTTTTCCTTGAATATTTAAAACTTTATCTTTAAAAATTTTCCACATCTGATCAGTGTCTCCAAATAACTTAGTTGCCCAATAAACAACAGATAATTCTTGTCGCATACCTTCAAAATTTGTAACCAAAATACTATTATTTCTTATCTCCATATGCAGCAAACCATCGGGTCTAATAGAGTAATGATCACTTGCACTCAGATGTACCCCAATTTCCACCCTCTCGATCATTTCTGTATTTGAAGTTAACAATAAGTCTAAAAGAGCATTGGTTCTGGTAGGTTCTTTGACTAATTGGTGAAGAAAGCCATCTTGAACAGTTTCCAAAAGCATACATCCGTCGAAATTAAGTGCGCGGCATACGCATTTAGATAGAAGGTGCGCGCACAATTATCAAGACAGACAAAAACTGAGTGTTATAGATACCTTACTTGGGGAATGCACAAGCATTAGCTGTTGACTTCAAGTACTGTCGTAGATTTAACGTATAAATGACAGCGTATAAGCTGAACTTTTCTCAATCTCCCTTAACAACGTCTTGTGACCAATGAAAACCCACTAAACTGCTCCGACCGTGTAACTTTAGAGGACCGTGCCATTTGAGATAGATTAGTACTACTCGTTACTATTATGGTGTGGAGTCAAGTAGCAGGATATCAAGAATACAGCCCAAAACTAATGTTCGTGAAGATAGAAAATTATAAAAGCGAAATTAAATGAAAACCTGAGGGCTGAATCGAACAATAACTAGCCGGAATATTCATTCTGTAGTTAAAATATAACAGTGTTAAATGTAATACAGAGAAAACAGTATTTTAAGCATAGTATGATGTGTGTGTCTAACATAATTACTCCCACTTTAAGTTTAAATAATACCTGTCACTTAACAAAACGCATGGATCAGGTAACAGGAAATAATAAAGTTAAATCTTCTGTAAAAGCCGAAATGTAAATGCGATAAGCCTCGAGAAAACTTAATGATAACAATAAGAATGAAATGAAAGTTACAACAATCGTAAATACAGCAAATAAAGTAATTAGAAAAAAACAAAAATAAGTCAATTAATAATGTAATGTTATACCACATACGGAATTAGTTTACCTCTAGCATGAATTTTTTGCTGTGATTGACATAGAACGCATAATGCTGTGTATAACATTTTTAATGTTGCCTTGAAAGCAGGGAAATAAATTGCATCAAAATTGCCCTGTTGTTAAGACCGTTGCCATGCATGCATAACGACATAGCAGAACTTCGCAGACGAAAATTTTTTGCAGCACAGAAAAAAACACGCTGATTCATTTTGGCCCACTTACAAACATTGTTCAAACCCGTAAAATGAATGTAGGTATATCTTTTGCCGTAATATTTCAATTAATCACAAATGAAGAGTTGCAAAGTCGTTTAGGCAGCAGCACTTTGCAGACAACAATTTTTTGTAGCACAATGAAAACATACTGATTCATTTACAAACAACGTCGGAAATCTCGCCAGTATTCTAGGCAAATTCTGTGCTGAAACTAGAGAGGTGCATACTTTAATCTTTATAGGTTATTTGTGTGATCACATTGTAAAATACTGTTATATTTTGAAAATTAAACGATTTCTAAATTTTATTCATTATGGATTCTTAAAATTCAAAATCTTGAATGAAACTTTCAACTTTAAGACTTACACGTAGGCTAAGTATACTATGTAACAGCGCTAATTAAACAGAGTTTCGTAAAATTGTAAACAGAAAAGGATGATAGAATATAATAATTAGGTATTGATTGGTGATTTCGAGAAACAGATAATTCTTTGCCCTCATAACCAATAAATAATTATTCTTTGTTATACATCTTGTATAAAGAGGCCCGTCAGCAGGAATTTTTTGAGGGGTTCAAAACTTGACGCCCCCCCCCCCCAGTGGCACAGCGGTATGTCTGCGGACTTACAACGCTAGAAACCGGGTTTCGATGCCCGTGGTGGACAGAGCACAGATAGCCCATTGTGTAGCTTTGTGCTTAATTCCAAACAAACCCAAACCCAAACTTGAGATTTTTCCAGAGTGTATTCTGGTCGTCGAGCGCAGTGAAGCTACCAACTTAGGGAGGGGGGGGGTCCGGGGGCATCCTCCCCCGGAAAGTTTTTAAAATCTAGAATTCAAAACTATGTGAAAAAAATGGCCAAAAATGTACAATTTTATTTTTCTGTGACCTTGACCTCACATTACATAACTGTTAGTATTTCATTCACGAGAACGTATATACAAAGTTTCAATAACATCCATGCAAAAATATGCAAGAAAAGTGCTAAAATGTAAACTTTTGTAAGGTGGCTTAGTAGACAACAGAGCTATCGTTTTCGTACAGGCCTAGCTACATTTACCATTAAGAATTTATGTCATCCTACACAGCCATGACTGTCGACGGCGCATTGTTTTTTGCTAATGCGTCCAGACATAAACACTTTCAGCGGAAGATTTTAAAAGGTGTATTTTTGCCTTGACAATCAGAGATCACTGTATTTAACAGGAGTTAACAATGCATGTACTTGTGTTAATTTACGTTATTAAGGAGGGGGGGGGGTGCAATCCAAGAAAAGGGTGTGCGTTCGAATACATTAAATCGGTTCACTATTAACCTAAATAATTCAGAATTAAAGTGTAAACTTGGAAGTTTTGAAACAGTTATGATATTCTGTAAAACTTCTACATCCAGAACCTGTTACAATGATATTGCTGAATTTCAAATTGTAAGAGGACTAATTGTATTTATTTGGATTTGTTAACTCAAACTGTGCTGATGAGCTTTGAGTAATAAAGGATGCGGAAAGTCAAAACATGTATTAGGCCTTTACGTCACAGATCATATTTTCAATTTTACTTTGAAGTAAATAAAATAAATATTTAATCTAATTATTAAACAGATTGTTCCACTATACAATACCGAATAATAAATTAGGCGCAATGCCATAATTTATTCCTACTCTTAAAGTTATTTAGGTTAGTAGATGGTGAGTTAATTAAAAAGTACTCAAAACCCCATAAATAATATATACAGATCACCATTATAAGTGGCTTAACTGTTTATTGTTTTTTATATTTTTTTGCTTGAACCTTGAATAGTTGAAAGTATGTATAGTAAACAGCTAACTTGGAATATTTGTATTTGAGGATGGAAAGTTTACAACTTCAGAATGTTTGATTAATGATGATGATATCTAAATCCCGATATTGTTTTGTTTTTAGTGAAAGAGCTTTTTTCTCCAGATTGAATTCCGATAGATAAATTTGTCCAATTTTGTCAAGTTAAGCTAAAACTAGTAAAACTATCAAAGAATTAAGCTTGTCAAATTAACTGAGAAGAACAAAGCTTGATTTTCAAAACTTTCACGTTTACACTATAATTCTATAAGAAATTATTTAGGGTAATAGTGAACTGATTTAATGTATTGACCACCATTAGTTTTACTTACTGTTAGGTTAAGTTTTTTTATGAATAGTTTTTACAAGCTGTATAACAGCGAATAATTATTAATTGATTATGAGGGCAACAAATGATCTGTTTCTCGAAATCACCGATCAATAATTGCTGTATTCTTTTTTTCCTTTTCTATTTTAAATTTTACGCAAATCTGATTAATTAGCTAAGTTTAATAATCGAACTTAAATAAGTAAGTACTGAAAATGGAACTTATGCCTGATGTTAATGCTGATAAAAACAATTCTACGTCTACTATTGAACAGAGAATAGGTAAACTTAAATACTCAAGCTAGTTATAATGATCTCACGAAAAGGAAAAAGAGGAAGGGTTAAGCGTGGTGACAGTACTGGTCATACTCTTGAGCCTAATTAACATTCAAACTCAAAGATATAATAAAAAATGTAATAAAATCTTAATGTTTTTAATTTACTTTCTATGGGGAGTTTTTAAAGAATTCAGAAAGAAGTAGATCGCTTATAATGTAGAGTGGCGTTCTGAATATAAATAACTATAGTAAATTTTTCATCACACAAAACAGTAAGTAAGGCGCTATCAGGCCTGTTACGCAGTGTGTGTGTGAAAGGGGGGATTCTAATTTGTGATATCAAAAGCCAACATATATCGTGCAAAACATGCTAATACCACGGGGGTCTGAGGACATGCGACTATTTCAGGCCAAAAAATGGTAATGCTTCATCAATTTTGTGACTAGTTTTGTGGTGTACGAGATTTAACATCACCAACAAGCAGCTGCAATATAGCGATCTTGACATGTCTCGAGCTATTCCGCAACAATAACTAACAGAAACATCGTTTTTTCTGTACTAATTCTGAAAGCTGTTCTACTAAGAAACGAATTAATAATATTTTGAAATATGTAAAACGTACCACTTTTGGTAATTATAAGCTTTGCACCATATTAAATGCTTTAGGACACGAGTATATTAATAATTTCTCCATCGAATTACTTTTTTGTATTCATATATATTCATGCATGCTATTTTATAAAATTCAATAAAAACTATTCAGTCCAATGTTGAATAATAATTAATGTGTTTCTTCGTGTGTTTACTGCAAACAATTTCTAGCACTTGGATATAACACCTGTTCCTGTATTTCAGGTATTTACTTTTTAAATAGTATATATTAAGTAATGTAAGTTAAATATAGGTGTGTTGGGTTATGGATTCTTTTACAGTAAATGTCAGTGACTTGTTGGTGATGAAGTAAAAAATATATATACTGTTACGACAGCGGAAGTCACGTGACGCTGGTAACACGTCATGAGATTCTCGAAGGATCGTGGCTTTTCCTGGCAACTCTAGTCTTTTCCAGGCGCCCTCTATTTTAGTATATAAGCCCGGCAAACAATTGCAGATAGATAGATATAGAGACAGATAATTGAGTCAAGCGAACGGTAGTGACGGTAATATAAAGTGTGTGTTTTGTTATCGAGATTGCAGACGTATTGACTGTGGAAATTCTGTGTATTGCAAAGTTGTATCGAGAAATAATAAACTAGTTTTAATTAAGAAAGAACTTGTATCGCTGAAGTTTCTCGGAAAGAATTTCTACGGGAAATTAACAAACGAACAGAGACGTAACAATACGAACAGCACGCACTCCACTTGTTTTCAGAATAATATATATATATATATATATATTATGGAACAAGTTAAACGTATATACAAAAATACCTTATACTATGGAGGTCATAGTTATATCTTAAACACTGTATAGTTCTCTTCTTGTTGTCAAAAGTCCACTTAGGCCTTTTCAATTGCTTTAGAATTCAGTTGACAAGCCGAATTATTTTTCTCCATTTCTATGACCAGACTATCCGTGTAAAGTTCACTTACATTGTCCTTGAGTTACCGCGGTTGTATCCTGTACTTCAAAAATCGTCTGCCTTTTGTCAAAATCCACTCAGGCTGGTTCAATTACTTTAGAACACCCTTTGACAAGACAGCTTATTCTCTTTATCTCTTACGAAATTGTTAATCTCACTCTAATATATCAACCGTTAGGCCTTTCACTCCCACGACGATTACTTTTCTCTGGCCGAATGTCTCCTTCCTGTGACTTTACTTTACTCTATTCTGCTATTTTTTTTCTCGTCTGCTTACCACTATTTATGCGTCTAACACTTACGCCTTCTAGAAATATCTATATCCTCCACATCAATGGATTGCACGCGATGTTCGATAGCCTCAACATCAATGATTTATAAACACAACGTACGACTTTTACCGAGTTACGTAACCAAACCTGTCATAACTATCGCCTTTGAAATCACTTATTTGAACAGCCACATACGTGTGAACAGTGCACAAGTATTGTTATTTGATATAGAAAGAACAACAAAATTCTACGTGTAAGTTACCAACTCTAGAAAGTGTTATAAAGTGTGCATTTAACTTGGTGTTTGACAAGTGCTACCAAACTAGCCGCCAGATGGCGAGATTCAAATTTCATTACTTTATGGAGACAGATAATGAACTGTTACAGCAATACAAGGTCCTTGATTACGTCTGGGATCTGTGTTTTCGAGAAACTTGGCACGTGAACTGAATTACGATGAAGACATTACTGTCAAACAATGGCTAAGAAAAATTGTTACTCAATTTATTTTATTTGTTTGACGAATAATTTCATGAGAAATATCTTTTGTGGCTACTGCTATAACTGGTAAGACTACTCAGGCCCGCACAAAGAATGTTTGAAAGGAGTTTCTAATTTGTGAGTTCAAATACCAACACATATTGTGCAAAGCACAAACAGCATTCAAAGCATGATAATACTATGGGAATCTGGGGCATGCCCCCTAGAAAATTTGTAAAAAAAAATAGGTGCTATGAGATTAAATCTGGAAGCATTTTGCACGAAATATAGCTTAAACAATAGCATTGCTGTTCACATAAAATCCATAAACATCCAATGAAAAGTTACCAAATATTTGTATATATGCTTGAATGTTTTTAAATGCACTACATTAAGATATGTGGATTGTGTTGCTGTTTGTTTATTGTTTAAATGTATCGCCAACAAGACAGAAACTCCTACTGTAAAGAATCTGGCCTACAAAACCTGACAGTAGCAATACGGCTTTGGACTTCCAATTACAAAGTGTCAACAGAAGCCATTGCATGAGACTACTTCAAGCCAGAAAGGCTAATGCTTCATTAGAGGCATATAGACTATGTAGAAAACGTTAAATAGCATAAGCAGCTGTGATATAACTATATAAGCATAATTTTTTTACATCACAAAAATAGAACTTTCGGCTGAACCGCCTTTGCGTACGTGCGTGGTAATGAACAAACACGAAGGTTTTATTTTTGCTTTCTTTCTGCGTTTCCATTATTTAAACTTAAAGGATTTATGGGTTCTGCTTGAGCCTCAGTTGAGGCCAACGGAAATGAAAAAAATGAATTAAGCTTCTAACTTTTCTCATTACATTGGAAAAATTACTTAAAAGCTTTACGGATACCTTTTACCAGAGAAGATTGTAGAGAATCTAAAAGTTGTTTAAAAAATTAGCCTCGTTAAGAGTCGGTTATATTGTATATCACATTGAATAAGTTTGTCATGCAGGAAATATATTTGAACAAGAATGTACCGTTTCTAAAGTTCGATTTGTATTTCAGTTAAAACTTTTGCATGTGATGTGAAATAACCAATCATATATGCTGACTTTAGATCTAAAAATAAACAATTTCATGAGTGACTTATGCTCTGCTTTCAGAAAAAGAGTTTCTTTTCCGTAATTTGGATGGAGATTTACTTTTGTTCAACGCAGAAAATGTCAATTCGTCTTTCCTTATGTCCAATACAACATTTGTAAGTACTTTAAAGTCTGGTATTTTCAGAAGTAACGGAAAAAATATTACACAACTCTAATGACTTATAGCTTTAAGAGAATAGATACTTTGTAAACTTCCAAAAACGTTAAGATGTTTCCAAGCATGGATGATATAAATTAGTTACACGGCTAAACCTCTATATGGTGGTAATATTAATACAAGTTCATTTTACAACTCTGTCTTACCTGATAACGATTTTAGAAGATACTAAACAACCCGTGACCCCTTGAGTCACCCACTATTCAGAGGTTATGAAGAATTCAAGCTAATTTCAATATTGCACCGAAATGAAGGTTTATTTTGAGATAATTAAATATTTCAATCCATTCGTGTTATTCATAATTCAAGAACATATATTTGATTGTTTATCGGGAGTAAAAGGTAAGACAATTCATTTTTCAAAAAAGTAAAGCAAGAAGTTTCGTAAAGAGCGCGAACAGTTGTGTGAATGATTTTTTGACTGAGAAAATAAGCAAACAAACAATCTCAGAGTTTTGTAGTATATAGATAGATTCTTCAAGATCTTGTTTTTGTCATCTTACTCCTTTTAATGAAGATGGGAACATTGAAAAAATATAATAGCCAATGCTTTGCGAGAGGTTTTCGTTTATAAA